ATATTTTTATGACATATATAAGTAATACTTAAACTTTTAAGCTCTCAGCAATAACTGTCTTCAGTCCGCGAATTTTTGAGGATGTGAATGGCGAAACTTCACCTCTCTTTTATTTCCATCAATTGCTAAAAATTCAAGATCTTTAAGCTCGAAACTTTCTCAACGTTTTGCTTTTTGGTTGAAAAATTCAAAGTTGAGTGAATCTTCCCAACTGATAAAATGTTGTGTGATGACTTCGTCATTACACAAGTCATTTGTAATGCAGAAGAATTCCATTTCAACAAGTCTTGTTATAATTAATTTTTTCCTTGGTCCTGGCAGTTTCTCCCTAAGTGCCATGTTATTAAAATATGATTTTAGGCTTTAATCTCATCATTGGAAATTTTCGCCCTAATTCTCTTCATATACCATGGGAATTATTTGATGAATGCCAGAAAAATGAGGGGGGAAATGGAAAGGTGCAGCATTTCAATAAAAAATTCATTAAAAAAGGAAACTTTGGAAATTCTCTTTGCCAGTCATGCATAACTTTTTGACATTTTTTCAGACCATGTCAGCAGCGAGGAAATGAAAACAAGAACACCCAGGAAAATTGGCCAGAGTTTCGGCAACCCGCGCAACAATTTCACGCCATTCCAATTTCGCCACGTGCCCAAAACCGCTGGACCCAGTCCTACACCGGCAACATTTGCCCACGCCGACTTCGTCCTTGGACGCAACTCGAAGCTCAATGACTTGTTTCGCATCCGAACAGACCAAAATCATCATTACCACCATCAGCAACAACAGCAGCAGCAACAGCATCATCATCATCATTACAACCAACAGCAAATACAATTTGTTTCATCATCCACATCCACAACAACGACTACAACTACTCCAAAAACGCCGTTCAATTTTGCGGAGGCGGATCCGCAGGAAGTTTGGAATTGGTTGTTGTCGCAGACACCTTCAAGGCAACATTCAACCACGCTTGTGCCTGTGACAGAGACTCTTGTGAATGTGGTAACTCCAAATTATCAGTTTGTCACAGAGGGTTTGGTGGAGCAAGTGACACCAGAACCTCTTCCACAGCTTTCAGTAAGTTCTTCATTCTAAGCATGGATTTTTAGGAAGAAAAATAAGGAAAAAGTTTTTGAACAAAACCTGTTTAATACTGTACATATTCTTTAATAAATACCCCTGCCATTCATTTAAAATACACGTGGTACCTCACAATTCAACATTCCACAATTTGACCATCCTGTAAGTTGATGGTTGAATTTGCTGGGAGGTCTACTCAAAATTTGACCTCTGCCTTTTAATTTGATCTGCACAAAGATGCAAAATGTTGAGTTTGATCTAACCCTTGGACACAGAGGGTTCTTTCCCATTGAAGGATGGAGTAGGATTATTTTTGTATCCTCCTGCATTTTCAGTTTTTCTAAGGTCAGGAAAACCCTTCTAGGTGGGCTGAGGCCAAGTCTGGATTAATCCAGGAAAAGCCTGTTGCATAACTGAGCATTTTTTCCCCTGCAAAATTTGTCTGTGCCCAGGGGAAAAAACATTGGGATTTTTCCCAACTTTGCCTTCAACCCCCTGTTGTCATTTTGTTCTCCACCTCTCTGAGGTGCAACAAAGTTTCCCAAATATACTCCAACTTTTCTGCCCAAGGGCTAGAAAGCATTTGCTTTGACATTGTCTCACAATTTGACTGTCACAATTCAACTGTAGTCCAGCAACAGATTATGGTTATATTGCAGGCTGGACTATCCTCCTGCATGGTGTCTAACCCTTGGATGGCGGAGGGTTCCTTTCCATCACATATGGTGGAGTTGGGATTTTTTCAAGGGGTGGCGAATTTCTGTTTGACATAAGGTCCCTGAAATGCTCCCAGGCCGGAAAGGCCAAAGTTGGGAAATATCTGTGAGGCAAATTTTATATTGCTTTGAGGAATTTCTAATTCTAATCCTATGCCACGAATGCAGGAAAAAATGCCACCCACTGAAGGGTTTTTTTCATGCTACATTTTTTGCAAGATTAGAAAGAATATCAGACTTTTTCCCTACTTAAGCCTTGGTACAAAGTAGGATTTTTTATTTTTCAGTGCTTATGATGGGCACAACATTTTGCAAAAGTATCCCAATTGAGCGCACAAAGGTTAATGGAGACTAGCTTATATTAGTGACCAATGGTTATTTACAAAAGTTGATAACGCAGGGACAAGAGAAAATTAAAAAAGGAAAAACCCCAAGCAAAAAATAAAATAAATTGACTAAAAAGACAGAATAATTTGCATGAATAGCTCAGTGGAGGTATATAAAGTACTGCTTCGTAGACCATCCCCAATCTGGTTTTCAAGATTTACAATTTTAGGATAATGTTGCAAAAATCAGGGCAACCCATGATTTTTTTACAGATAAATTTTTGAATGAATGAATGAATTAATTAATGAACAGAACACTTTATTTGCCGCTTTTGAGCATTCACAAGGTTCAATCAAGATTTCCACAACCAAACCCCCTTCCCACACAACCCAAATTCACTCAATGACATTTAATCACTCCAGAGCAGGAAAGCACAAATTGATAAAAAAAATGAAAATATAATACAGTACATGAGTTACAATTGGACATCTGACATGTATGCATACACCCATTCATTCCTTGAATTTTTTGAATCCCCTGATTTGCTGTATGCACCCAAAGTACATGCTAAACCTATGGTATATTCCAAGTTCAGGCATGGGAAGACCTTTTTTTACAGGTGGATTACCAGCAAGACTTTGAGGAAGACGGAAACAATGAACCCAGGCATTTCTTGGGCAACGATTTGGTGATCGCAACCACTGCGAAACCGTTGATCGAAGCGGATCTTCGAGACAACTTCCGGCCGTTCCTGAAGCCGCATCAGATAGAGAATCACAATGAAGAGCAGAACAATGAGAGGTTCCACAGCACCCGGAAGTATGACGAGGAAACCCTGACCCCACTGCACCAGTTCCGGTTCCACGAACCCGCAACCACGGTTGAACCATACATTACCACTCATCGGAACTCGGAAAAACTCCCGCTATTCGGCAAGGACACACGTAAGTGCATTCGAAAGGTGAAGAAAAACGGAAGAAGAGTCAAAACTGAATTCCAGGGCTTTTTCTTCTTTCATATCTGTGGTTTCTCGTGAATCTTTCCTTTCGTGAATCCAAAAAAAAAAGATGCGGTATAATTATTTATGCATTGGTAAGTACCTTGATGTATTTTCTTTCAATACCCATTGCAGTAAATTATTTTTTAGTTTTGAAATGCCAGAATGTGTTTGAATGGATGTGTGTGGGATGTGGGACAAAAATTCTTTTGAAACTTGTGAAGGCTTAGTTGTTGCAAAGAATACTTCTAGTTCAATAAATGAAGTATTCATGCAGAAGAAGACATTTTTCCCCTTGATGTAAGTTCACAGATTTCTACCATCAAAAATAAGTTTGAAGCTTGGTTATATTAAAGGAATGATAAGCTGTTGATCAAGAATTTTGAATTTTACATTAAGCATCTGTTCACTTTTTTGGTTTCATCGTACAATAGTTTTTTTTTGCATGCACCTCTGTTATTCTCCAAAATAAGCAGATTTTTGTAAAATTAATTCAGAAAATCGCGTTTTTGCTTATGGATGCCATTGTTTCGATAAAAAAGGAAATATCGTGAGAAAGAAATCTTTTGTAATATCCAGTTATTTTGTTTCATAATGGTGAAGCGTCGTTAATGGTAGATAATCTCGGTTTTTTTTTGCGCATTAGCACATTGATATTGCACTTGCAATGCCGTTAATTAGCAAAACTGGCAAATGAACGAAATCAGCGCTAATGCAAAAAATTCTCATCAAGTTTCGTAGTACACGTGAAATGAATTTTTCTTCATGGATGATGAAGATTTGGGTTCTTGTCTATTACTGTAATTCTATAGTTCAATTCGCAAGGCAGCAAAATCAATAAGTTAATGCTCATTGAAATGTATTGATCGATACTTTTTTTACAGAGTAATTTTTATTCTATCCAGGAACTATGCTGAACAAGTGCGTACAGTATATTAATTTTTCTAGCATTTTTGCAGTGTGTGAAAGTTTTCCTTCACTTTCTGTGATATGGGTAATAATTGATAAAATGGCACGTTTTCCCTACCAATCAAGACTTGCCATATTACTGGAACTGGAAAAATTTGTATCGTGTGGAAATAATGAATTCTGAAAGTGATGCTTTGGTTCACATTTTTTAATGTTTTCTGTGACGGAGAAAAAAAAGGTCGTCATTATTTCACGGTTTGACAAAATTCCAGGATCAGACAGAATCAGTATTTCTAGAACTGATGGAAAGCTTTTTATTTTTCAGCTTTTCCAATAAAAAAATTGAATCGATAAAACTGCTCGAACTCGATAGATTAATGTTTACGAATTTTTCTCGATCAATATACGATGATCAGAATATTTTTCCAATTCCATTTTACAGGTAAAATACCCAGGTTATTCAGAAAGAAATTCAGATTGCCCTCCAAGGTCCACATGGAACGTCGATACATCAACCCACTGTTTCGTGAGAGCTTAGAAGGTGCTGAATCTTTGGAACCCGTTTTGGAATCATCACCCACCCAGCAAGCAGTTTATATCAATGAAATCCCATCATCCACACCTGATTATTACAACGAAATATCGTCAACTTCCAATTATTTGAACGAAATTTCGGAAAGTGAGTTCGATTATCCCAGGATTCGTCCTTCTCAACGGCCGCTGACGGATGACAGGGATGAGGCTTTATTGGGAAATGAATTGGGACCCAACAACAACAAGAGACCCGGGAACCATGGGTTCCATTCGAATGAAGTACAGCTGGTGAATGAGAATTCTGGGGACGAGGTCAATAATAGGCCTCAGTACCCGGCGTATGGGGTTATACCTGAAACTGGGTTCAACTGCTCCAAGCAGCTGTACAAGGGACCCTTTGCAGACATTAATTCTGGATGCCAGGTAATTTTTGAAACGTCAAATTCCATCAAATCATTTAATTGCATAATTGTTTATCTCATTTCATATTTTGAAACACCATATATTTTTATTCCTTTTTTGTAATCTATGCTAAGCTGAAAAACCTGAACCTTTCTGCCATGATTTTATTTCATATGGAATCTAACCGAACTCTTCGACCTTGAAAATACAGTGGGGTTTCGTCCAAGAAATTCAATTTGTTCTAGTATGAACTTTTCTGGATTATTTATAAGCTCGATTTGGTAACGCGAGTTTGTATCAAGGACAATTTTGCACCTGGTTCAGAGGTTCTCAGCCAGTGTAGAAAGCATATGAATTGTAATTTTTTATGCTGATTTTTTTTTTAGNTTTTAGCAGAGAAATTTGTTAGTCAACAACGTCTGATTAAATAGAGGGAGGGTTACACATTTTCAGCAATGACCCACGATTTAATTTAGTCATTTTGATAATATAATAAAGTATGTACAGTATATGAAATACGAGTCAGAATTTTTTAACGTTGGAATTTTGCATTTGACTTTGGCACTTGACGCTTCCATATGTGACACAGCCAGAATATTTTTTGCAAAATGCAGTCCCCATCAGGAACACGAAAGCCCGAATAAATGATCAAGATATTAAAAATATATTTATTTATTTATTTCGGGGTAGATGTTTTTGCTGAAAATCAAATAAAATTGTGTAATTATTTTGAATATAGGTTTGGCATTATTGTGACTTGGATGGCAGACAGTCGTCCTTTTTATGTCCGAATGGAACTATTTTCGACCAAAGATCCTACACATGTGACTGGTGGTACAAGGTCAGGTGTGGTCAATCAGATCAGCTCTATGCCTTGAACGAGCGGCTCTTCAAGTACAGGTTGGTTCATCACGTCTCATCAGCGAATTTAATAGATCGAAATGATCATTCATTCCATCAAGTATTGCTTGAAACAGTTTTTGCAGATTCATCTTTTCAAGTACTACGCAATCAAATGAGTGAAGAAATATTTTTCGCAGGGTCGACGATCCACCGCAGTTCCCATTCGATTACCACGGGCCACACGTGGACCAATATATTTTGCAACAATACTTCAAAAATTTGCAAGAAATGAGGCAAAAGCAGTGGGGAGACGAAGGACGAAAAGCGAGGCTCAAGGAGAAACTGAGGGAGCAGAAACGCAAGGAACTGATTGCGAAGCTCAATTTGGAACTTGATGAGGCTACTTACCAAAAGTACGGTTTTTTGCTGAGGAAACGATAATGACGGCGATCATCATTTGCCGTTTCGACCATATTTTTGTTGCCATTTTTTTACTAAAGAAAAAGAAGGGAGCTATATAAGCTCCCTCTTTCTTTCGAAATACGATGATGACGTGGGAGATGAAATTTAGATGCTAAAAAGTGAAGAGACAAGGCGAAGTTTTTGTTATGTGCCTTGAGATTGTGATCGGCGTTCAGATTGCGGATTTTGAAAAGGGCGCAATAATTTTTCGAACAATAAAACCCAGGCTTTATGCGATTCTCGAGTTTCTGATGCTTCTTCTTTTGGATTTATGGAGAAAAAAATCTGCAAAAAAAAAAGGATTTATGAATTTAAAATCCAAACTGGGCAGCTACTGAAACGTCGGCGACCTTGAATCAAGAATTTTTACTGCTTTGTGTCAAATTCATCTTTCCAAACCCGATGATATGGTCTCGTGATGACTTTCAACGGTTGAAGAGAACTTTGAGACAAGGGTTGTTCTCTGAATTCCTATAGGTCACGATTCAAGACAATAAAGCAGGAAATAAAAAAAAATTATCTATTTTCAAAGATAAAACCAGTTCCCCTTTACTCTCTTGTATAGTAATTCCGATTTTTTTTTCGAGTGAGGAAAGGAATCATACATGAAAAACACTGCAATTATTCTCAAGAAGATCCATTTCTACATACAGTATTGCAAAGAAAGTTTAGCAAAAAGTTCTCAGTTGGGATCAGATTCACTCTTTGTCCTTTTCTCTGTGAGTCTTTTTGCAATGGCTGCCACCATCCCAGCACCCTTTCCACTTCCATCCAGAGCCAGCATGTATTGAAACTATTCAAATTTAAAAACAAAATGTTGAAAATTTTCAAATTTTGCTTTGAAATTAGTAAAATGCAGACCTTGCAACCAGGTGCATAAACTGCTGTGTAATGATCCATAAGTCCCTTCAGCCTTGGGTGGTTCTTGTACAATGATCCATCCACAGCAATTGTTGCTGTTGGCTTGTTCATCCTTGTCAGCAAGTATCCCACACCTTAAATGTAGGAAATCAATTTTTTATGACTGAAAACTGAAAATTTAATTAGAGTTGGACTTGGCTGACTTCATCCTCCCTAAATCAAACAACTCACTATGTAAATTTTTTTGTTTAGTCCTTATCTGAACTCATTCTTGAATAGTGATTCTTTCAACTGTAAGACTTCCCCCTTTGACTTACACAACTCAAATTTTGAGAGGCTTTTGTGATAATTATTCTAGGGTCTCTAGAAGAATATTTCAGGTGGTACCATGCAATTTTACCTCCCACAATTCAACTTTCCCATAATTTGACTGTTGAATATGCTGGGAGTTTGACTCTCAAATTTGACCTCTGCTGCACAATTTGGCCTGTGAGAGACATAAAACATCAAATGCCATGTAGAAAACATGCCATTTGACGTCATCTTGCAATTTGACTGCTTTGCAATCTGACCCTAGTCCAGCAACGGATTTGGGTTGAATTGCAAAGTACCACCTGTAGCAACTAAAAAGTAACAATTTTTTTCAATTGATAGTTAGACTTCTACAAATCTATCCTCGAAATTCCTCAAGTTCAGCATCCTGTCAACTCATTTATCAAGCAAAATGGAAGATGTCCCAACTATCTGCAATTTTAGCTTCCTGTAATTCCTAATTTTTACGCAGCAAAAAAAAAGGTTCCTCGTGACTAAAACCTCAAAGTAAATAATTTGCGAGTCCCTGTGAAATTGGCTTGAAGAGGTTTGGCTGTAATTCTGGAATTCAGCACCCAATATTTTGCTGCCATGAGATTATACGGTATTCCCATAATAAATACGAATTGAAAATAATCGATTTATGATATTTATTTTTAATAATTTGAGCTATTTTTGGCGCGAATATTCAAATATTCTTTTCGCATCTTCCAAAACATAAATTATGGAAATAGCTAATAATAAGGTTAAAAAAATTGAAAATTTCATGCAAGATGAAAAAATCAACGAATAAAGACGTACAAGTATACCAAAAAAATATAAAATTCTTGAGACTCACAAATAGCAACCAGTTGAGCAGCTCTGAGAGACACAACAGCGCAAATGTACTGCAAAGCCCGCAAATCGTCCTTGTCATAAATCAGGTCCATTTCACTCATCACTTCTCGAATTTTATCCGTTCCCCCAGACAAAGTCTCCCTACGTTTTTTTTTACCAAGATGAAGAAATAAAACGGTATTATTTCACAGATGAAATTTCGAAAATTGAAAAAGTAATCACAGTATTTTATATATATACCCTTCAATGGTTGAAACGTGTTTCGCTGTGAAGGAACCGAACTGTAGAAGACGCTCAGACGCGTGATTTCCGAAGAAAGGACCTTCTTCTGCCAAGTCGATCATCACATGACGAACTATTTCTCCGATGTATTTGCCTGAGATGTACTTCTCGAATCTGCAGAAAATAAATGCAAATTTATCAAATTTTTAGGGACAAAAAAAAATAATTTATTCAGCGTTTGTCCGACGTTCGTGAACGATTTTCCTTTTGATCTTTTTTTCACTCTTCTTGGATGAAATGCCTCGGGTGAACATTTTGCGGACTGATTATTGTATCATTTTTTGCGAAACTTTTTTTAACTTTAGCTCCCATGATAAGTTTAAAATTTGAGGAAACAAAGAGTTTATGAGGAAATGATTCAAACATAGAAAGATCGTTCATTTCGCTTTCAGTTGCATTTTGTATTTTCGGTTATAGTCAAGAGACAATGAAGCATTTGAAATGATTTTAGAATGGTATCACTGACTAATTTCTCTTAACTTTCAATAATTTGAGAATAAAAAAGCGTTTCATCCCGAAAAATTGTCTGTTTTTTTTAATGCTGAATGCACAGCTTTTTTTCTGGCAATGAAGATTCACGCAAATTAAAAAAAAATTTTGGCGAATGGACAGAATCTAACTTTAATGTTTGTTTTGATCTCACATACAGACTCAGAAACTCGAGCATAAAAATGAAATAATTTCGCAGTACTGCATTACTTTCTAAATTTTTGGGCTTTCGTTTTTGACAATCAAAACTTTTACTAACGTGAATGTGCCGGCGAGCAAAGATTGCTTGTCAACTTCTTTGTCAAATTTTGTCTTGAGAAATTCGATGCAACCGTTGTCGCCGAATGCTCCCCATTCGATGTCCACAACAACCTGATTCGCGAGCAACGAGAAAATATGCATAATTAAAAAAGAAATAACAGAAAATGTGAAGATATTTTCCCATCATACTATCAATAGCAATGACGTTTATCTGATAAAATTTTTTTAAACCAAAGGAATGTCCGATTCGATTCCGGCTGATGATTCATCACTCTGAAAGTTGATGGGAAAATTGTGACTTCAAATTATTTTTTTTTTACCTCGTTCTCGTCGTAATGTGGACCTTCCCATTTACCGATTCTGCTGACCTTCTCCAAATAGCACGCGTTACAACCGGTTCCCATGATCAATCCGATGGCACAATCGTGGTCCTTTTGTGCTCCAGCGACCAAAGTGCCTGAGGGATTTTATTTTAAAACGAGTTTTTGAACAGAAAAATTGCCAGGGTTTCCTTTCAGACTATGTAAAATTTTTAACGCACTTTTGATATTTTCACTCGCCGAAATCGTCAGCGGGTCGGAGATGAACTATTTTAGGAATCATCTGGGATATTTTTTCCCCGAAAATCTGTGATTAAAAAACTTTATTATCGGGACACTGGGGAAGTTATTATAATTATTCTCGGGCTGAAAATATCATGTTTTTCTAATAAAAACAAATTCTTCAAAGTTTTGGAAAAAACAATCTCGAGTGAGAGAAATGAATTATTAATTCATTGGAAGTCATCCGGTAAAAGATGTTGAACATTTTATTTGGTAAACTATATACAGCAGTAAACTGCGTTCAAACATAGTTTGAGGAATATGACTACTGACGCTCAAGTTGTCTTAGTGCAAGCGATTGATTTCAACAGGTATTCAAATTCCTCATCAGTTTAATCGAAATCCTCCTTCAGTTTAATCGAACGATTATTGATGAACTCGAAATTTTTCTTGCATCGTTATTTTGAAATTTGCTTCCAAGCATAGCTGTGATTGACAATTTTCAAATGGAACTTTTGACTGTTTCCAGCATTTGGTAATGCATTATTTAAAATTCATATTTTCGGATTTTGTTCTTCACGCATGTCATACATGTGTCGATGATTTCCAGAAATTTTAGGTAACACAGTTAAGGCAGCTATTCGGGCGACACCTGTGTAGCTTTTTAGAAAACGCGGTCGGGTGTTGCAGCTAGGAGAAGCTGAGTGAGCTATTTACTCGCGGGGGAATTTTTTTCTCACCAGTGGTGTCATTCAAAACAGCAATGACGTCAACGTGGATGTTTTTCTTGTGCAACGCTGTGTTGAGCATCTTGACGACATCTTTCCCGATGACTCCAGAGCAATTAAATGACTTGGTCCACGACGCCAAAATCCCAATGTTCAGTCCAGCATGATGCATCGGAAAAGAAAAGCAGAAGCCTGGAAATAATAATATAATTCATTAATTCGCGTGAAAAGGTTTTTTTCGATGATTTATGAAATTGATGCGAAAATTGATTTTGGAATACCCAGTGGAAGGATTTCTTGGCTGACTTTCTCGGCCACCACGAATTCCTCAATGCATGCTGCCAGGAAGTCGAACAACTGTTCCCCACTTCCGAGTCGAACAGCTTCCGGCACGTGGAAATAGTCCACTTTTTGTGCAATAATTTCTCCTTTTCGCATGCGAAGCAAAATCACGCGGAAATTGGTTCCTCCGAGGTCCAGTGCCAAATACACACCATCCTCTGCAAATTTGTCATTCAAAATCCGTTATTCTATGCTTAGAAAATACGCATAATTTTAAATATAAGGCTTAAAAATGAAATTGAGTTTCGAAAGCGGAATCGAAACGCTGCTCACTTTCTGTGACAGCGTTTCCGAACTCGTCTGCGGTAAGAAAAAAAAAGAATAAAAACAGAAAACCAATGCATATGTTTTTACGTACGACCTAAAATGGCTAAAAAATGATAAATTGCTGATTCAAATGAAATATTACTAACCAGTTCCGTCCGGAAGTTCAGGAAGGAAAGTATTCTCCATTTGCAAGGACGACTTCTGTTCCGGAGTTTTCTCCAGACCTCTTTCAATTTCCTCCAAAAACGCCTTTCGGATCAATTCAACGTCTTCGTCCGTCAGGAAAATGGATTTCATCCATTCTCGAATCTAGAAATTTTTATCAATATGAAATCGTTAAATTTTATGGTACAATGATATGTACTTGAGATGAACTTGATATGCTATACTCTGATATCTTTTTCAGAAAACATTCAATTATCTTGACTCTAGAGGTTGTTGACTGTGATGACGTCATTGTTGACACTTCGAGGTCGTTTCTCAAGAGCAAGTTCGCGGGACTAAATATTATTGTCACGTGATGAACACGTTTCTAAAACATACGATGGAATGATCTGGAACTTGCCAGAATAAATTGTAAAACTTAATATTTTGCACTACAAACGATGTATGTGAATTCGGATCAGATTTTCAGACAATTCAATTTTATAAACTTCGAACGGAGCACGTTTTGGGAATTTTTCTTTAAATTTATATTTAAAAAAACCAGTGAGAAAAAATAGGATTTTCAAGCAAGGACAACTCTTTACTTTAATATCCAAGACACAGTGCTGTCACTTGCTTCAAAAGAGGCCAAAATCTGTGTACAGCACAAATTTTGAATGACAGCATGCGTTCAGATTTACATTCAATATTAATTTCTTATTTTTAATTATTCTTGTGAGCGAGATATAGAATTAACATATGCCACTTCGAAAATGGGAATTTCCTCGGGGCAAAAGTTTGTAGAAATTTATTTTTAATGAGCACTTTCGTTATTCGAGTGGGAATCATGCTTCAAGCAAATCTTGAATGTAGATCTGAAATGTTCAATTATATTACATTTAAAAGATGAACTTTAATTTTATCGCATAAAACCCAAAAAATTATTTTTTACGTACCGTGCATAATTAAATATGTCACCGTGATAATCTGTACTTCAGAACCTCGGCTCTACATGTAGGCAAAGCAAGATTTTCAGTGCTGCCAAATTTTTTGGCTTTCCGTATATAAAAATGACTTACTTTGGATTCTTTTTCTTTGTCACTCAGATTCAGTTCCGGCATCTGAAGTATGGCATCTTTGCTGAATTCAGGCAAAGAAACGTCTTCTATGGTGACTCTACTGACTCCATTGATGCTTTTGTTGGGCGGAATATTTGCACTACCCGCCGACGTTGATTCAACTCCCACAATCGGCATGTTGACAAATAATTGCGGAAATTCTGGTTGTGCTGTTTGCTTCGCGTCGCGATGAAACGTTCCGTCTCTCGAAGTAATATTTTGTTTTAATCGCAGCCTGGAAAAAAAGCAGACATCAGCTTTTTATGGTAATCAGGATGTAATTCGATGGTGTTCGAAAACATTGAGTAATTTTTTTTCTTCGTGATGATATTTTCATTAAAAACATATACATTTAGCTTGAATTACGGCTGTCTCAACTGAGAAATTAAATTTTCCGCAACATTAAATTGAGTGAATCCCACATTTCACAAAACATTTTATTCAATCATTTTCGCATTTTGGCACTTATTTATACTGATTAGACAATAAATGCAACCAAAACAAACGAACTGGTTGCATGACGAAGCTCAAAAAGCAACTGAGAGCAGCCGAAACAGCAACCCTACCTTTTTATAAATCCGACCGAGACGACACTTGGAATCGTGAATTAATTTTGAATTAATTTTGACTACCCTTTGCAATAATAATTCTAATTTTCTCACAGCGCAAAATTGAGTTCCCGAATTTTCTTAATGCAAAAGGATGAAATACTTGTGACCAGAAATCAATAAAATATGCTACAACAAAATGGGAAAAGATGGATTGTATACAAAATTATGCAAACATACGCAGATATATACATTGAATATTCTCGATAAGTGATGGTAATCCTGCTGGGGACTTTATTCCGGGGGTTTTATTTCCGTCTGAACGACGCACTATATTTGAACCTGAGAAAAAACAGACGAACAATCGAAGAAAAAGGATCCCGTTGAACATTTCTTTCGTTTCAAATTCAACTGATTTTATTCAATGTGTCTCTTTCATACATCGAGTGTCACTCGAATAGAAAACTTACTCTCTTCTCCAGAATTATTCATATAATTTGACGAAATTTACGCATGAAATTTACGGTACATTGAATCCGCAGTTAAAAACGAAGACTTCGGAAAATTTTCGCAATACCTATTCAACTTTTGAAAAAATTTGCGTGACGTTGATTGGCTTATCTTGCCCGAAAAGGGAACGTGGGAATCAACGAGCAGAACAGTTGAACACCAAGATAATATCTATATGAAGTCTCCAAAAAAAATCTTGAAAATATATTTTAAGAATAGAATAGAATAGAATAGAATCAGATCTTATTCGGGCCACGGAATTGGATGGAACAAGCACAAGCACAAACACACGGGATAACTGCGTAGTTGCTTCAGGGGAAAGCTTTGGAGAAGACTGGTTCAATGTATACGAGGGACAGGGTGTTTTAAGCAGGAAATGCGCGCGCATTCTATAGTACTATAGACTTATAGGGTATACGTATTCTGTATAAGGAGCACTTGGAAGCCCCAGGCAGAGTTGCTATAGGTCTTCCTCGAAAAAAAAAAAAACACACACACACACAGCTGCGACTGCAGGATTTTTCTCCCCTCATCATATTTTTCTTCTTCTTCATCAGCGCAAACATTGAGTTCTCAAATTCTTGGGGATTCAATCCAAAAAAAAGAAGTGAATTGCTACTTTTTTTTCTTGGTCCGCCGGGAAATTCCCTCATTTTGTCTTTTATATAATAGGGTAGTCCAGCTGAAATATTAGCGGTTTTTGTTTGCAAATTGAAAAATAATGCTCTTCAAGAAAATTACAGGGTACTTTATTTCTTATTTCAAAAATCGATTAATATTGGTACACTACTCACATCAAGGTATCCATTCTGCAGAATATTTCTCAGAGATATATTTTATGATTTATTTTTGAATATGTTCCCGGAAATGAAATTATGTTTTGCTCAAAATCACTCCCATTCGATGAAGTTTTGGGTAATTTGCACAGATAATTTGTAACAATTGTTTCGAAAGAAAAAATGCGAATTTGGCTGCCCTGCGTTGAGTATATGGTGACTTGGAAAAACCCCCGCAAAATTCCTCAACGGAATGCCAATTCTTTTTTGTGGAAATTTAAACAGCTGTCGGGAAACAGTATATATAATGTGCATTGAATCAAATGAACTACTGTAATACGCTACAAAGCTTTTTTTAATGGTCCAAAAAAGATGAAAGTAATCTTGGAAAATTTTTAAACTACAGTACTGCACGTACATTTATCTTGTCGCTCATCCAATGATTATACACAGGTCTAATCATTGTATGGGCGCCACTTGGATGACCTCCAGAAGATCGTTAATTAACGTTCATCTTCTCCAGGGCACCAAACCAGAACTCAGAATCATCTTTCACTGTATAAACAATTAACGCTGCGTCCCTCCAACCACGACTTCGCCACGTGGTCTGGGTCTCAATTACTCACATTTTCCCGACTATCTGTTCTTGTTTTTGTTTTTTTTCGAAGATGTGCAGATCAGTCCACAAACTACTTTAAAGTCTAAAAAAAATTACTCGTGATTTATTGACATTATTTAGAAGAAAATATACGAACCAAGTTTCTTCCGGGAAAACTAAAAGTTTCTTGAGCCGCGTGCGTGAATCGTCAGATGCGATCTCTGAGATTGGCCTTTTTCCTAGAATAATTTTCCAGACGGGTTCGCTTAATTTATTTTTTTACTGATCCACAGGTAAGATTTTTTTCATGGGTACTGTTAAAAGGAGTGAGACAGTCCGAAGGGACGGGTTTCAACTGGTTACAATACCAAACTTGACGGCATGCCTTGAGGGGTATATATATATACGGACATTGACGTATTCAACGATTCGCAGGTTGGATAAATCACGGTGGCGCCAAAGAGGTCGTAGTTTAGCGATTTAAATTTCTGATGCCTTGATGACTGGGGAAGATAGGGTAGGGTGCCCCTGGAAACGAATACGGCTTTCATGCCGGGAATGTTGAGGGGGCTGCTGGTTATGGACTATAAGCGTGACTGAATTATCCATTCGTAGCCTGAAGGCCTCTGTACTTTTCAGAGAAGCATGATATATTCAATGTCCGAAGATCTGTCGAGTAACATTAAGAAATACAGAATATAAAAATGATCAGTTCATTTGTTGCATGTGTATCGAAAAGAGAGGAAGTCATGGAGAGCGCAGCACTGACATCTATTTACGTTTCAAAAAAACTTGCCGGCAACAGTTTTTCGCATTCGCCTAGATGTAAACGCACGCATTCGCGCACATAATTTTTGCAGTATGAAATGGGAATACCGGTTGGTTTTTTTTAAATATTCGCTCAAAATTATATGAGGCAATACCAAAAGAGACTATGACACGGAATTATTCGAGCTTGAATAATATCAACAAGAATAAAATCAATGGAAAGAGTAATTGGTGTTTTCATTGATGGTACATTGTTTGAAGAAATGCAGTACTTACTCCTTCAGCACATGGATCTACGGAATTTGAAATGAGAATCGTGATTGAGAAAACTTTCGAATTTCATTGCTTCAATACCAAACTGTCTATAAAACGTTTCGTTAAATAATGAGTTTATCTCAAAATATATTCCTGAAACAGCTTTAATAGTCAAGCTGGGCATAAATAAATATTGAAAGTTTCATTTTGTAAATGTTTTTTTCATGCAGCAGTAATTAATCTTGCGTTGTCGTGGATGATGCTGAGTTATAATAAGAGACATGTTGAATATGATTTGACGATTAAATTTAGATAAGATTTATTTTGCAAGATTCTTTTAGAAACATATGTGTTCATATCCACACATTCTGCATGTGTGTATACAAGATTTTCAAATTCTATTTTTAAAAAAGCAGAAATTTAAAACTCACCGATCAGGCGATTTTATCTTGATCGAATATTCGTGCCCACTTTAATTCAATATTTTTAGCGCTCAAAAATGCAAAAAAAATTTGATATGGCCTGTCTTAAAGTCCTCGAGGTCTGCCTTTCTGATAAAACTATATACCAAGTTTTTATACATCTTACTTGTGTAGCAATACATTCGAAAACTTGGTTCATGACTGGAAGTTTGGGACAAACAAATAGTCGAAAGGGAGAGCTCTCGTCTATAGTCTCTAAAATCAGCTGTGAACTCTATTCCTCAAATGCAAATTTTGCGCTTCGGATGATCTTCGAGTTGCCAACTGAAGGGTATTTTCCATATCTCCACCATTCGCTTTCAGTTGCTTTATCCCGAAGCTTGATCAATTATTTGCTGCTGGTTTGTCAGGTTCTTCAATTTGTATATTATATCCACGAAAGCTGACACGGGATGAAACAAAAATTAGCAAACATTGTATTCGTTGCGATCGCAGTGTTAATTCCTTTGAATTCCGCAAAAGTCGCCACGTTTTCTGCTAAACTGCGATCGAAACATGGACTCATTCCGGCAACTGTCCGACGTGAGAATATTCGGTGAAATAAAACTCGGGCTGTTTTCTGAATTTTGCGTTTATTTTAAACAGAAGACGACTGCTCGTCTTTCTTGACCGACCTGACAGGAGAATTTTCCTCGCCAAATTATCCCGGGGATTATCCAAACAATGCGATTTGCACCTGGGAAATCGAGGTGCCAGAAGGTTACAGAATTCGCCTTACATTCCCGGAATTTCGTCTGGAAACAAGTTCCGAATGCCACAAAGACTTCGTTGAAATTTACGACGGGAACGATTTTCTTTTGTGAGTGAACTTCATACACGTAAAAACCGCAAAAAAATCACGGAACAAATTTCATCAAAATATTTCCAATATTTAAAAGTGGATATATTTTTCGTCAAGATTCTGTGGCAGAGAAAAGCCTCCACCAGTCGATTCCGTGGCCAACGTGATGAGCGTTATGTTCATTTCTGACGACGCCATTCATGCTGGTGACAAGTTCTTGGCAGAATATGTGGCTTTCCAGGGGGAACTGACGACTTCTGACCCAACTGGAAGTCCACAAGTGAATACAGATTCTTCCACGACGACTACAACGATTCGATCAACGACGGAAGGAGGAGGAGGAGGAGACTACAATTGTTCAAGTTGGTTGATAGTCTTTGTCCTTTCCGAATATAACTCATGAAGTTCCTGAATCAAAGATTTTCCGTTCTCGTGTGTAGATGTCGCCTGCATTTAAAGTTTATTTTTAATTTTTCGGGGTAATGAAAATTAAGATGCCGTAGTAAAAATCATCATTTTGACATGAGCCAATATGTGTAACATAGCTTCAAAACACTTGATTATTGTTGCTACTGTATATATGATGGTGCTGCATGGATATTCATGTTGATTTTTTTAACCAACAAAATTCACTTAAAATATCCTTGGACAGACAAGCCTCGGTTATTTGTGTGTTCCACGAATCAATTACATGTGGTATACCATGCAATTCAACACCACCCTGCAATTTATTCATCCTGCAATTTTAAGGGTTGAATTTGCTAGGAGGTCAACTCAAAATGTGACCTCTGCTGCACAGTTTGACCGACATGGAGATGCAAAACATCAAATATGATGTAGAAAACATTGCATTTGATGTTGCCTTGCCATTTGACCACTTCACAATTAAACCCTAGTTACAGATATGGTCCAGGATTGAATTGAAGGGCACCTTTTGTACAGTGAAAAGCAAATAACTGGATGATTCAATGAATATGTGCCTAATACCAATTCATATTCATAAAAGGCAACACAAAATACTGTAATGTATTTCAAAAGCAAAATTTGATTAATGGAAATTCCACTGGTGTGCAACTTTCATAGCAACTTTTCAGGATCTCTTAAATCTATTGAAGGTTCTCTTTTTTTGTCATTGGTTTGTGCTTTGTTTCATACTTTGAAGTGATTGAATGTCTTTGGGGGGAGTTGGGTTGGGTGGGGAGGGGGTTTGGATGTGGGAGTCTTGGTTGTGCCTTGTGAACGCTGAAAAGCGACAAATAAAGTGTTCTGTTCATTCATTAATTCATTCATTGAAGGTACTACTGTACTGTACAACTCTCACAGTAAAGAAAGTTATTCTGGAATAGTTTGATTCAGTGACATTAGTGTCCACTGGAGTCATAAAATGAGTTTGGTACAGTTGCTCATTTTTTGTAAGCGTTGTGATTCAGGCAACATCTCTGTGGCATTGTAGAAAACAAAGTTGGATAGTGATGGGGGTTTGGATGTGGGAGTCTTGGTTGTGCCTTGTGAACGCTGAGAAGCGACAAATAAAGTGTTCCGTTCATTCATTCATTCATTCATTGAAGGTACTACTGTACTGTACAACTCTCACAGTAAAGAAAGTTATTCTGGAATAGTTTGATTCAGTGACATTAGTGTCCACTGGAGTCATAAAATGAGTTTGGTACAGTCGCTCATTTTTTGTAAGCATTGTGATTCAGGCGACATCTCTGCGGCATTGTAAAAAACAAAGTTGGATAGTGATGGTTGAGGCGAACCCTTTCTTGCAGCATAAGCTTTGCAAACATTATTTTTTATCAAGTTTTTATTCCAAACAAGTGACACTTGATGTCGGCGATCCGTTGGTCTTCTCCTTCTTCTCGACGCCAAATTATCCTGCTGCATTTCCTGCTGGAACAAAGTGTAGATGGGAAATCATAGACAATTCAGAGAAAATTTCCCACAGTCAAGTTGGAAAAATTGATTACGTTCCTGACATTCGAGTGGGATTCTTGAGTTTCAAAACCCAGACTGGAGATTTGGCTGAAGTTTTCTTCAATGGGACCGAAACTCCTTATGCCTCGTAAGTTCTTTTTCTTTATGTTTCAATGGATGCAAAAAATAGTCCAAGTTAAAAAAATTTATCTATTTACTTGAAGTTGAACAATTTTGACTGGGAGAATGTCCACAGGTTGGATGGGAACCAAAACATCGATAATGGAAACCATACGTTGGCAACAGCAGCTTTTAGAAATGGGAAAAACATCACTGTCACTTTCGATGCTGCAAAATCTGATGAAGGATTCCTCTTTTTCGCAGCCAAAGATGTGCCGAGAATTTTCACAACCGACGATCGACGGAAAGGTTCAAACTTTTCAAAATCCCGCTGTTCCTTGAAAAATGTTGTCAAGTCTTCCTTATTTTCTTTCAGAAAATCCCGCGAAACTTCGATTGAAAAATTTGCCACGTAAAGGAAAGAAGTTTGTCAACGTGGATTTAGTTACTGGAAAAATCAGCGCAAGCGACAAAAAGCTCTTGAAACTGGTCAATTTGGCAAAGAAACGTGAATAACTTCTTCAATCTTTCTGCCATGGATTTCATTCGAAATTTTTATTTTTAAACACGTTTTTGCAGATGGTTTCAAGCGACAAGATGAGCTGAATTATGGACATTTTACGTCCCCGAATCATCCAAATTTTTACAATAATCAGGAATCCGTAGTTTACAAATTCACTGCGGCTCAAGGTCAAAAAATTGCGTTTCATTTCCCGCGTTTCAACACAGAACCTCATCAAGATTGGCTGATTTTGCAAGAATCCAGCGGAATGTGAGTGAATTATTCATTTGAAAGGAAATAATCGAAAAGTAACGACCCGAAAGAGAATATGAAATCAAAAGAAAGACGTTTACCGCAGCTTCTGTTTAACGGCATGCTTTAAATAGACTCGAGAAGATTGCTTCACCTTCGACAAAAACTTTCGCTGGTTCGAATTTCCGGAACCGGATTTCTGGGGGCATTTGCTGCAATCAATGTTTCAAATTGAAATACAATAAAGATGATCATACGTTAAAAAATTGCCAATTTTTTTTAGATTTTATCGAAACGTGATCCTCAAATCTGTCAGTAAAACATCACTTGGAAGGTATTTTTCCAAGCACTCTATAAATTCGTGTTTTGCAGATTTTATTAAACCCATCTTCAAATTTTCAGAAAAATCAAAACACAAAGTGTAACCAGAAAATGATGCTGATCTAAATTTAATCTCGAGTTCTAATGAAAACTTTGTCGTAGCTTTCGAATGATACAAATGATGGAATTTAATACAATTTCAGCTCTCGTGATAGAACATTCAAACAGACCTATTTTTCTGCAATTTTTCCAGATTTTCCAGTTCCGTTGTGCATAATTATAAAATTGAGGTTTGTTGCAGATCATTCCTTGAATAGAAGATAACCAATGGATAATAAGAGACTGGTACAGGATAGAAGATGGCAATCTGTTTACCAAATTTCACCAACAAAACTAGACAAGTATTAAGGCACTGATTTCAATACAAAATTATCCAGGTAAAGAAACATGGTGACCTGCTTCAATAGAAATGTGAAAAATTTTTATTCTAAAATTTATTTCGAGGAGGAGTTGAGTTTATAATTTTGCCCATACCCTTTCTTTATGTGCTTTCAATCTTTCGGACTTTTCAAATATATTATGAAAGTTTTAAAACCCCCCCTGTTCATGAAAATGTTTCCATTAACAGACGCAGAAATGAGTCGAACATTTCCTGATAACACACGTTTTCTTTCTTCGTTTTAAAATCTTGGTTTTTAGGACACATAATCATATCATCCCCAGCACTTGAAATATATGCGGGGGTTTTCAAGTGTGAAACACTTGAATGAAATTCAATCCATTGAAAGCAATCTATAAAAATTCCTTCATTCACAACACCATACTTACGAAGCAAACATGAGAATTCTATACTCTATTTCGCTCACTTTTTTGCTGTGCTCAATCACTTGCGCGAATCCTTTCAGCAGTGCCAGACTTCGAGGTGAGTTTTTGGTTGATTCCTCTCAAGTTTTGATACAAATAATCTTCGAACATCTCTTTCAAGATGCGAAGCAAGACTGTTCGGAATATTTAACCGGCATGAATGGGGAATTTTCATCCCCTAATTATCCCGGAGATTATCCAAACAACGCAATTTGTGTCTGGGAAGTCGAAGTCCCAATAGGCTACCAAGTCCACTTAACCTTCGAGGAATTCCACTTGGAAAATAGTCCAAATTGCGACAAAGACTATGTGGAAATCTATGACGGCTTCGATTATTTCTTGTGAGTAGATTTCATTTTTGCTGGCAATGAAGAGGTCTTGCAAACTTGTATGCGTGTCTTTCTTTAAGGTATTGTGGAAGAGAATTTCCACCAGCTGTGGTTTCTAGAAGCAATGGACTTAGTGTCACTTTAGTTACAGACGGGGAAATTCATTTGGGCAATAGATTCAAGGCGTTTTTTCAAGCTGTTGATGGAAGTATTTCCACAACAACGACACCAAATCCTGGAATGGAAATCCCAATCCGTGAAATGAACAGAGTGGAAATTGCTCTGAGTGAAATATAATTGCGCTGGTTACACATCAGTGATAATGACCACGCGCAACAAGAACAAGACAACCGAATATCACTCGACTTTTGTAAAGAGTTGAGCCCACCAGGCTTTCAGGATTGATTGTACTTTAATTACTTGAGGAAGGTTATTGTAGCTTGTCATGAGAAGTTGTCAAAACTTCTCATCAAGGAAATTGCAGCAATTATCTTTGCTTTAGCAATTTCCCATTTCTAGGCTTTCTAAAAAGGTTTCTTCTGAAACTACCAAAAAGGGTCTTCTGTAAGTTACTGTATTTCTAAGATAACAGGCATGAATGGGGAATTTTCATCCCCTAATTATCCCAGAGATTATCCAAACAACGCAATTTGTGTCTGGGAAGTTGAAGTCCCAATAGGCTACCAAGTCCACTTAACCTTCGAGGAATTCCACTTGGAAAATAGTCCAAATTGCGACAAAGACTATGTGGAAATCTATGACGGTTTCGATTATTTCTTGTGAGTAGATTTCATTTTTGCTGGCAATGAAGAGGTCTTGCAAACTTGTATGCGTGTCTTTCTTTAAGGTATTGTGGAAGAGAATTTCCACCAGCCGTGGTAAGATCTTCGTTACCTGAATCACAGTGAAATCAATGTCTGCCCCTTTAAGTAAACCCGTTATCTAAGTTCCGCAAAAAAGTTCGACAACTACCTTCATAAAGGTGTTGTTGCTGTGGTTTAGGACCTTTGGAAACTTGCGAGGGTGAGAACATTTAATGAAAGTGAAATTTGAAAGTTTGTATAGACAATAGAGTGAAAATTATAATAGCAAGATATATTATCCATGTTTATTATGAGGGAATTTAGTATTCCTCAATTCGGTTTTTATTATATTAATGCCGATACGCATCGTGTATTCAGTCAAATCACGTCTGAAAAATATTTCCAAAATAAAGAAATGGACATGCATTATTATTGAAGTATGTGATTATTAAATACTGTATTAAATACAAGCACCAATTAAATACACGCTTTCTTTTCGTATGAATAATCGTCTAATTTGTTGTCGTACCTAGACACTGAGAATAAAATTAAGCCAAATCAAAGAATTAAATTTTTACAAAAGGAACTGAAGCTTTTATATTCTCTGATCTGAAAATAAGAAAAAGGCGGGTTTTCAGTTCAAGTGTAAGAAGAGAGAGAATATTCAAAATTGAAAAATTATCCTACCTTGAATAATTTACATTTTATGCAAATTTTATAATTATTTTTCCCTTTATAAATCACTCGTCAGAAGATTTTCAGGATAATTTGAGTACCGTACTGATTTCATTGACTTGATAGAAGACGTGGAATTTGGTGGCGACTTTTCTCAAAAATTTTTGAAGTCACAAGTTTTCTTCGTGATGTGATGAATGGTAATGGGCCGTTATGATTCAAGATGTCTTCCAACTTTGAAGGACTGAAATATTTAGGTGGTCTAATCGGTGTTTTTTATTTAAGAAACCCTGGATGTTTCGGACATGTCAATTTTCGGCTATTTCCGAATGTCTCCTGGTCATCCGCAAAATTACACGGAAGGACTTAATTACACCTGGGTAATCACAAACAATTTTGCCCCTGACAACTCCTCAGAAACCACGGAAACCAGAATTGTTTTCCTCAGGTTTAAGACATCACCCTACGACCCGGTGACTGTGAGAACAGACATCGGAGCATTTTACTAGTGAGTCCCAGCAGTTTTGTTTAGTAATTCTGAAATCAAGGTTTCCTGACGAACAATTGTTTTTTTTTCAGCGCTGGAAATCTGCAAAATGAAATTTCAAACGATTGTACAATATATTCTCTGCCATATTTGGACAGTCATTTGTTGGCTACCCATGTCAATTTCGTCTCACGTCCCAATGGTTTTGGGTACACTGACTCTGGATTTCTTTTCTTTGTAACGAGATCCATTCCTCCTGATCCTGCCTCTCGTTTAGAAGGTATTGTCAAATTAGTTTAATCTGCTGAAAGAAAAAAGCCATTATTCTATGAAAAGTTCTAGATTTCATTGGGTTCAAGACGGCGACTGATGTTAATTCATCATTTCACAAAATAGCATGCCTATATTGTACCTTCTAGAAATTATGCTAAATTAACTGCAACTTGTTATTTTCTACCTGCACTGTAGCCAAGATTGAGAAATTCAAGATGAACTACTGGATTATTTTTCTTTGTAATTGAGCGAAAATTGAAATATGCTAAATTTTAATCAATAGCTGCTGAGAGATGGACACACCAATAAAATAGATGTTGTGGTGAATTTAAAAAGGTGCACATTAATTGAAACATTTGAGTCTGCAAGACTGTAAAAAAAATTTGATGAATTCTCAACTCATGGTGAAGCAGAAGGAGGAGAATTGTCCACATGATGGCTCTCAAAATGATAACTGCCATCAAAAAAAAGTTTTAACTGGTGGTCAATTCTTATAATCTAATTATTAAATTATAATAAATAATAACGTATTAAATTATTTGGATTTAACACGTTTGAATGGATAAAATCGTTTCCTCTCTCATCAAAATGCAGAAACTACTCAGCAAATAAGGAAACCCTTGACAGAAGTTGAGTCACAGAACAAATTGGAGGGTTTGAAGACCCCAAAGGTTGTGGTCACTATTGACATGCGGAAGCAGAGGATCACTGCAAACTTTCCAGGAGCAGAAAATTACGCTGGTTTTGGTTAGTATATATAAATGAAAACGTGTGTTGTTTAAAATTGGGTTGCAATGATCAACATGTTTTTTCGTTTGTTTTTTGAATGCAGGCACGTTGGATGACAGACAAGATTTCAACAGCTCTTTTGGCTGGTTTTCTTCTCCAAATCATCCCTCACGATACCCTTTTTTTCAAAATATCCAGTACAACATTTTAGCTCATCCTGGAGAAAGAATTGCACTTGCTTTCCCAAGATTTGCTCTGGAAACAAATTATGATTATCTTGTCATCACGGATCCCTTGTGCAGGAATTGCACCTTGTGAGTTTCTTTCCTTCAAAAAACTTTGTCTAAAGAGTATGATATTTATGCTGTGATAAATTAAATTGCTGAATATGCTCTATATTGAAAATGTAATCAAATTCTGATTGGTTTGTCAGGAAAAAATCACCAATTCTTGTTAAAATAGTTGCCTCAGACAACTATTAAAATAAAAATTAGTATTAATCTCAGAAAACGCACTTTTTTTGTGAGCCTGAGAACCAAACCCAGGTTTGGTTCCCAGGCTTGCCCAAGGACAGTTTCCTGATTTCCAAAGGAAGAAATGAAAGTGGCCAAATCTGGCCTTCATCCTCTAATCCCAAAATTTGTAGTGGTCAACCAAAAACCACAAATATGACACTCTGCGTTGAACTCTCAAACCATGTAGATCTCTGGAGAACTCTTGTGTGAAATCAAATCATCATCCAATCCCAAAATCGGTATTTTTGTTCTTTGTACTTGTGAAACTCTTCAGTTATTCTGATCAATCTTGTTCTGAAATAATACACCAATTTACAATAGGATGATAAGTCCCAGCCGCAGCCCGGCTGCTTGAATTGTATCTTTATTTCTCTGAACCTATCTGAAACCAGTTACAAATTTTGTATACCTTTCACCTTTTGTGTGGTAAAAGAAAAATCCTCTGTTCCTCTTTTCCTCACATGGTTTTACAAAAAGCCCTACAAGACATCATCCTACATGAAATCAAGTAATTTTGTGGTATTGTGACTTACATTCATTGACAGCCTGTTTTTGTTTCTAACACTTAAAAAATACTGGATCTTGTCAAGGTATCGTCCTACTGTTCTTACATACATACACTAACTCGTCTATTTCAATTTCTGACAAGGATTGGATCTAGAACAATTCAAAACAGGCAGTTTGTGAAAGAAAAATCTCGAGACAGAAACTTTGTGTCCAAAGGCCTCTTTGATACAGAAACATTTATATTTTAAAATCAATAATATTTTAAAATTTGAGGGTGAAGTGAATGAAGCTTCATGTCATCTATAATAGATCCCTTATGGTCCTTTGAATCCCAAACATGGCCATTCTGCCAAAATCTTCACCCACAGAATCATAAACTGTTTGGAACCCACTGCAACATGCCTTCTTTATCAAAGATTCAATAAATCAGGTGGACAAACTGCCCAACATTAAAGGAACAAGTAGACTGGAAATACTGGGAAAGAGCACTTTTGTTCACTAAGATTCTGCGCCAAGCATCATCTTTGATTCAGATTCTACAGGCCAATTCCAAGCCTCCACAAATTGGCCAGATTACTGGATCAATGCCACCACAAAATATTAATAGAAATCCCTTTTTATTCCCAATTCTTATCAGTCTATCCTAGTTTAGTTTTGGTATATTTCAGGAAAGTAAGAAGTATTCTTGGAATATGTTGCCAAGATTTTACTCTCAGATTTGCCTTTTTTAAGACTGGGGGAACCAGACTTGGGTCCTGTTCAAAGGCTCATGGGGAATGCTTTAAATTTTGTTTTGAAGGCTAAATGGATTTAAGAAAATGGCCTTTGTGGTACCACTATGTGGTTTTTTTTGTGAAAACAGTGACTCGAATACTTAAAGCCTGGGTTCTGATTTCTGCTGTTTCAACATGTTTCTATCTTTAATTATCCATTTTTTCAATTGTTCACCCTTCGTCCCTGCCACAAATTATCTTTTTGCCTGGAATCGTCCCAGTCTAAAATATTCTATTATGAATTGTTCGTATCCCCAATGATCACGATGAATTTTTGTGAATTTTCAGAGAGCTCACAGGATTCCATTCGTACATCCAGCAAATTTTCTTCAGTGACAGTTCGGTACTCGAAGCCAGATTCACGTCAGATGAAGTGGGTCAATGGTCTGGTTTCCTCGGAGTTTTTGCTTCGGTTGCTGTGGATTAAAACTCGGGATGATTATTAATAAATTGGGATGATTTCAGCAAAAACAATAATTTGATGAAGAGTTGTGAAATGCAGTAATAATATGCGCACTTGGGAACAAAATATGTGTTTGGTTCTTCGATAAAGCCCTTATCTCCAAGTGACTAAGCAGCTTTTATTTTATTTCTCATTTTGCTCCTGGTTTACGCATTTTTGAATCGGCAACATTACTTCTGTGTTCAAAAATGTTGCGATATTTTTTCACCGCATTATTATTGAATATCCTGGTTGAATCTGCAAACATAATTGGTTCGGGGCCAATTGGCAATCAGCAAAAGATTGTGGGGGGAATCCAAGCCGAACCCGGTGAGTGGAATTGCGATTTTAAACAGGAAACTATTATCTCTGGATTTGATGTAATGTGTTTTGTTTTATTGGTAGGAGAATTTCCTTTCCAAGTTTCTTTGAGGTCTTCAGGAGGACATTTTTGTGGTGGAACAATCGTAGCAGATCAATGGATTCTCACTGCGGCTCATTGCGTGGAAGATACTTGGCCAGATCAATTTTACGTCAGCGACTTTATTTCTTCTTGCAATTATCCTCGAATTCAAAACAGCAATCGTAGAATTATCCCCGAAACATTGTTGAAAAATCCTAAAGCTAAGAAATTTGCAAATTCTCGCATGAAAAGGTTTACATATTTTCTGAAGGTACGAGTCGGCGAACATGACCTCGAGTTGCCAAACGAGTTTGAAGAGGACTTCGGCATCGACTTCATCGTAATTCATCCCGAATATATTCCGTAAAATGTTTTGCATGGTTCTGCTCCAATTTTATTTGCTTAAAATGTATTCTTTCGCAGGTGGCCGAATATTAATAACGACATCGCCTTGATTGCATTGAACAGAAAGATCGACTACGTTTCAGGAGCAATTGAACCTGCTTGGCTTCCTTATCCGGACCAGGAATTTTTCTGTGAGCTTTTTTCATTATCAAAGCATTGTTCGGATCATTAAATTTTTGTAGGGTGCCATGAAATTTCAAATTTTGAGGGAGAACTTGTCCGAATCAGTGTTTTTCAATTGAATACATTTTTGAGAAAACTAACTTCAGTTTGATTGCTTGTGTAACCGAAGTATTTCGTATCGCAGGATAGTTCTACAAATGTCAAACCATCTTTCCTGAGCTCTGTCTTCATTATTTCAAAGGTGAATAAGTTTAAATTACAATTTCTCTCTTCAGATAGACATGTTTCACCATTTAAAATATTTCAGTGGCTTCGTTTAATGCTTTTATACCATTGAATAAAGCTGATGATTCTGAAAAGTATGAGATTTTTATTTTGAATTTTCATACTGTAAAATTTCGTTGCAACGAATCAGGCTGCATAGAAATATTGCTCTCTGCAAATTCGTTTTTATGTCCTTTCCCAGTAACCATAGGGCTGCTTGAATTTTAAAAAATTCAATTGCAATAAAGTTTTCTGGTTCAAATGGCGGCATTGTTGCAACGATCTTAATTGTCCCATAATTTATTCCAGTGACTGCAACAGCCATTGGTTGGGGTGCCATTGATGAAAATGAACCAGGTCCGGAGGCCACTTTGAGAAAAGTTGAGTTGAATTTGGTGTCAAACAGGGAATGTGCTGCAGCATATGCAAATGTCGAAGGGTTTGCCCCAGTCCTTGATACCATGATCTGTGCGGGTGTTCCAGAGGGTGGCAAAGGGTCCTGCGGGGTAAGAATGAATTCAGAAAGTGGTATTCAAACATTTCTAAAAGGAAAAATGCACCTTAATTTATAGTTGTCAATAATTTGAAATTATGCAGTGTTGAGGCCTTCCCTAAGAAACACATTAAAATCCAGCATAACATTTGTCAACTGGATTCTTCGTTAGCTGGAATGTGGAAAAGAAACTCAAAGTTTTATTTGAGGATATTTAAAATTTGAAGTACGATTCTCCAAGAGGTACCTGATTGAGATTAATTTAGGTTCATGGTGTCCTGAAAATTATCTAACAAGATAAAAGCCTCAAGTTGTGGTTGAAACGAGGAATAAAAAAATAAACATTCCACGCAATCACTTGAATATAAAATAAAAATTTAGTCTCCAAGCAACTAAATGAATGATCTTCTAGGAATATTCTTTTCAATTTCCAAGCGAAAAAATAAATAATTTCGAAATCATCAAACGTTTTGGGACAAGACTTTTGGTATAACAATATAGTCTCGAATTATTTTGTGCACAGGGGGATTCCGGTGGTCCATTGATTTGCACTGATTGGGAGGCAGAAAATCGGAAAATTCCATGTGGGATTACTTCTTGGTCTCTGGGTTGTGCAAAAGAAGGGTATCCAACGGTGTTCACTAATATTTCAAGCTACAGGAATTGGATCGGTTCTTGGATTGGACTGTGAAATATACCTTGACTGCCTCCTGCCTCTAGAAAAATATCTTGAGCTGTCGATGTTGTGAAGTTTTGTAGTAGATGTCACTCGTCAGTCGTCAGTAGACTGGTCACTGAAAGAAATTTGATAGAATTTTCGCGACCCGGGTCGCAAAAAGAACTCATAACATTCATTGCTCATTGTATGTTATCTGTCCATGTGGATCGAACAGTTTTTAATTTTCTCTAAGATTTAAAAATAATTGAAAGCACGCCGGCAGAAACGAAAATCCCGTGCTGTTTGTGAGCTATTTCAGGCCCCAAGTTTCCAGGTGTGGTAAATTAATCGCCAAATTTGAGTTCACGTGAATTTTCTACATGATAAAAAAATAACAACAACCACAACAACAAGAAGAATAAGAAGAGAAGAAGGTGTGGGGAAACGTTTTACATCCAGCTAATTTGGGGAAGTTGGAAGTGACATTTGCTGGGCGTGTTTTCTATTATTTCGGAGGAAATGTTGAGTGACGTGGATCGAGACGTCGCATCTCATCAGCTTTTCATGTGGTATTTCCGTTCCCTTATTTTTGTCTTAGGACAAGTTCTAGCTTTTCTAGAACAAATATCCAAGAATCTGATTTGATGGGAAGCATTTGTCTCAACCTGTTGAATCCGCAATCTCTGATGCTGAAATGAGCTTCACGCAAAAATAATAAAACGATGAGATAGTCGTAGTTATGCATCAGAGGACTGAACGTGGTTGAAAAATATCACGAAGTACGAATTAAATGGCAAAATTTTGCAGGTTTGTCCTATCTCCGTAAAAAAATCCTCAGGAGAAATTTTTTTATTAATTTTTGATCAACATAAGTGATCAAAATTTCTTTTACTTGAATCAAAAGCGTTGATTTGATAGAAGATTCTGGTAATTCAAATCGGATGTTGTTAAAACTGGAGATGAGCAGAAGCCTCATTCACCCAACAGAATCATATTCTATGTGCTCCTCAGTCCCAACAGAAATGTAACATTTCTTTGCAATAGCAATGCATTTCGTTATTTTTTAAATATCAGTCAAGGTAATAAAAAAAATGCTGTGTGGCATTTAATCTTGAATAACCTATAGCCTCATCTTCAGTGAAACATGGAAACTAACTACTTTTCTGTTTCCTTTTTCATGTTCACCATGGAATTCTTCCATTTAAAAAAAACCTCCCGGATACAAAACAGAAGAACATGGCATGAAACTGAACTTATGCTGACAGTGACTTTTTTCTTCATTCTCCCATCCCCAAACAATGTGAAGATAGTCGAGCTGCTGAAAGGAAGGAGAGATTTTATGCCTCTCGCTGTAGAGAAGATATGGTTGTAATGGCACAGCACTTGGTATCTGGTTTCTGCTCGTTAAGGGAAATAATAGTTGCCTCAATTGCAGAAGAAACGTGGAGCAGCAGCAAATGGTTTTTCCACCCAAGAGAAAACTGCGCATTTTCCTTTACAAAGCGAACCTCTAAATAACATCTTTTCAACCATCACCCCCACCTTTTCACCCCTCCCCCTCCCCCTCTTTATTAAACGTAAAAGAAGGTCGTCGAACTTATAAAGTAGGAGCTCTACGTGTTTCCAGCAAGAATCCGATGCAATGTTCTCGGTTTTCATTTTCCGAGGTTTCGGAAGTCTCGCAAAATTTTCAGACTGGAATTCCTTTTAATGCGAGTTTCCATGAGTATATTTGACGAAGAAAGAAATTGTTTGGAATCAGCAACCGTAGACGTTGGTTCTGAAACGAATTTTCAGAAGAATTTTTAAATTATATTGTTAGAAATTGCTTGCAATGTGCTTCCGAGTTTCAAATGAATGATTTGGTGAATATCAAATAAGTTCTTTATGTTGGAAGGTCTTTTCGTTATTATTTCAAGCTATTCCATCAAGAAATAGGCCTTTTAATTGGCATTTAAATTTTCCATAATATTTTTATTCTGGAATTATCCGGCGCATACGTCATCCAAGAAAACACAAGGCTCTTGAAATATTTAAAATGGGAAGATCAGAATTGAAAGGTTTCGATAGCATTCGATCCCATTTTATTTCATCGGAATCCCTTCGAAATTTTCCAAAGGCAACAAAAAAAACAGAAGTATTTGTAGAAAACTATTCACATTATTAGATGACAGGTGTTCCACGACAAATTCAAGACTTCGGTCTTCGATTTTGAACACCGCTGCGTCGATAATGTGTGCAAAAATAATTGCTGGAAAATTGCAATCGAAATTTACCTAGTACCAGAAAAAGGCCATTGTCAATCTCTGCTGGGGAAACTGGTTTTCTTTCTCATGTGAACCTTGAACCTTGTGAACCTTGAAAAGCGGAAAATAAAGCTTTCTGTTCATTCATTCATTTGTCATGTTGAAGCTGAGACAGGTTCCTTGAATATTCAAGAAATTCCTCGATTTTGCATCGAGATTGAGATCATATTTTCGTGATCTTTCAATCATGTTCGTGTTGGGAAACGTTTTAAAAATACAATGAACAATTGATTTACAGGGGAAACTCAATGGCATATTGGGAACTGTTTTTTTTTTATTCATCCAGGTGTTTTATTGTGGCCTGGTGCATGACTCCGTAATATGATCCCTGCTTGTTTCACTCGACAAGATGGAATCACAAAACAAAAATGTTTTCGTAAAGTCATACTTCTCT